CTCTGCATGGGCCCCCTGAGCCCCCCCCGCCCCCCGAACCCCCCCACGGGTGCCCCATCCATGCCAGCTCCAGCCCTTTAAGAAAAGAAAAAAAAAACGGAGAAAAACCCTGGGATTCCCCACTCCTGCAGCAGCCCTGGGGCTTCGGGGGGCTCATGCAGAGCCCCCATGTGGTGCGGGGCAGCAGGAGGCAGTGGGGAATCACCCCCCTCTGGCAGGAGCAGTGAGTGCGGTGGGGGTTTCAGGTTATTTTTCTTAAAGGGCCGGAGCTGGCCCAGATGAGGCACCCATGGGAGGGCTGGGGGAGCAGGGAGGAGTGCAGAGCGCCCCATGAAGTGGGGGGCAGCAGGGAGTGCCCCCCACCCAGCAGCACCCAGTGAGCTAAAGCTTTTTTTTCCCAAAGAGCCAGGAGCTGGGGTGGGTGGAGCAGCCTTTGCCGGGCTAGATGTGGGGAATGGGCCTGGTTGATTCAGCGATTCGGAAAATTGAATCAGGACAGTGATTCGCTTCATACCCACCCGCTCTGTTGGAAGGGAATTTAGAGAGTTGTGAGAATGCAACATACTTGTGTATGTGACACATGGGCAGCCCTGCCACAAAGGAAGAACCAGCCCTGGTCACGTGCACGATGAGGTCTCAGAGCAGTGGCCCCATGAGAATTCGATGTTGGTTACTGAGTGAGAACGAAGGAGTGCAGCTATGCAGTAGGAAGTACTGGGGCAGATGCTCACCATCCCTGCAATAAATACACAGCTCTTGAGACAGCTGGTTGGGGAGTGTAGGGTCCCTGTGTAACCACCCAGGATGTGACCCTGCTGAAGGGAATTCTTTTCAAGACCGTGATGGGCATGGGGATGCTGGGCACCAGTGACATAGCCTGCAGCTTTAGAGCCTTGTTCCTCATGTTGCTTTTGTGTCCCTCACTGCTTAGGAGATACCATCAAAGACGGCCGGCCTCTGGTGTAATCATCTGGACGGTAACTGCACAATGTGCCTAGGGTTTCCCAGTGGGAATCTCCATGCCCTCCCTACCTCAACCCTCTCTCCACATCCGCACCACTTTGGCAAGCAGACACATCCTATGCTCTACCCTATCTAAATAAGTTATGTGGACCAGGTGACATCCTCAGCTCCTGATTCTCCCTCTTGTGTCCCCCTTCAGCAGGTCCATCTGCTCCGCAACAAGATGGGGACACCTTGATGTTCAGCTGTGAGTGTGTGCATGCTCCAGAATCTCCTCCACAGCACAACCGTCTCCCTGCTGATAGCAATGAAGAAGGATTGCTTGCCCCTCAGGACACCTCACACCATCTCCGTTCTCCAGCTGTGCTCCCTACATCAGGCACTGGGGATATTGGAGGAGATGCTGATCCAGGTAGGGCACGTGAAAGTGCTCCAGCCCAATCAACTGTGAACCCAGGTAAGGATCAAAGCCTTAGGGAAAAGCCATTTCACTAAATGTTGAGGTGGAAGCCATGGCTGTCCATGGAGGCATCTGGGACACAGTTGTCTCCATGCAGGATCATTTGGGTGACCAGACCAGGTTGAATGCATAATAGGCAGAGGGCTTCCTAGTGTGAGGCACCAGCAACTCCAAAGAATAGTGAAAAATAAGCTGGTATCTGCTCTCCATGGCACTTGGGGTTGCATCCATCTCCTGCTCCCTCCAGACCCTCACCTCAACTTTAATCATCTTTCTGCAGATGATGCCAGCACAGGAGAAGGAAGACAGTATCCCCTGCCATCCCCTTGTGGGCCAGGGAGCTCAGACTTCCCTGAGGCCATGAACTCAGGGGCCTCTTTACTGCCCCCAAATATGCTGGATCTCTTTTTTCCTGACACCCCAGAGGGCTGATCATCCCTTCTCCCACCAACACCCCTGTTCTGTTATTCTAGAAGCCACTTCATCCCCTTCCCACCCCCTCTCTATTTTTTACCTCATGGTTTGAATCATCAGCCAATGCCCTCCAGTCTAGGACCAGGATGGGTTTTGGAGCAATCTGCTGCCTGTCATTGAGTCAGAAAGGAGGCATGTCACACTGGAGCCCACAAACACAGGCCCGTTTGCAGCTGGCCCCTCCAAAAGGAAGCAGCATTTGATGTGCCTGCTGCATTTCTCATGGTTTCTTGGTCCTGCCTTAACTACAAGGACTAGTTCAGGAGTGGGCAAAATATGGCCTGTGGGCCATATGCAGCCCACCAAGGGGTTCTATCTGGCCCCACAGTGGGTCCCTTGGCCCTGCCTGGCCTAGGTGTGGAGGCAGCCTGGATCATGGTATGTGCTGCCAGTCCTGCTGCCTCTGGGTATGTGGTGGGACTGGGGCAGTGTGGCAGCTGGATTCAGCTTCCCAGCTGCTCTTCTCTCCAGTTGCCACAGCCAGTAGCATCACCACTGGTAGACCTGGCCCCACTGCTGAGACACCCTGGCCCATCCACCCCACACCCACAGCCAGGGGCACTGGACAGAGCAGGGGAGCAGGCAGGCAGAGACTCTTTGAAGACTGGCTGAGCTCCCCATGGGCAGGGTGCGCTTGGCCGGGTGGATAGGATGGGGCCATGGGTAGACAGGGAGCAGCTTCCAGGAGAGGGATGCATGGGTGGGGATTGGGGCCAGGGCAAGGATCATGGGGCAGAGACAGTGCAGGGCCAGGGCCCGGGGCAGAGCCGTGATCTGCTCCACACACATCCTTGTCTCTGGAACCGGTGGGCTCACCAAACCTCCTAAAGTGGCCCTACAGCCCAAATAATTGCTCACCCCTGCTCTATGGAGTGTGACAGGGAGGGTTTAGTTTGCCCGCATCCCACAGTGCTCTATGCTCCCCCCTCCCTCCAAGGAGGGAAGGGGAGGTGGTCAGGTGAGGCAGGTAGTGAGGCAGGTGGTGAGTGACTTCTTTCCAGGCTCTGCTCTCCCAGAACTTCCCTGGAACTGGGAGACTGGAGGCCCCATGCTCCCCTATGTCTCTCACAGTCCCAGCAGAAGCTGGTTGAGTGACCATGGATGTGTCTTTTCACTGTTCTGTGACCAGTTTCTCCATCTGACTCCTCTTTGAA